TAAAGTTTGAAGTCTGTGCTGTCCAATCCAGCTCACTGTTTTTTACTGAAGCCCTGTGAAAGCATCACAGCTTTGCAGATCTCAGAGGGTTAAAAGAAAAAAAATTCCTGTATCCGCATCGTGATCCGGAACATCACTAAAATTTAAAGGTGTGTTCCTTGGCCCAGTACCCACATGTGGTAAAAATGTTATGACAATCTGTCCACAAGATTTTGAGTAATGTTGTCCACAGACAGAACAACAGAATGACAGACAGACATACGCGACCGAAAACATTACCTCGCCCTTGGCAGAGGTAATAAATGTGCAGGATTAAATTGACGTGGCTTTCAACAAACAAAATGATCCAGAGCCTTAGTTTGACCCAATCAGAGCATAGCAGGGCAGGCCGTTCTTTGTGAGCCCAGGTCAAAGCGCCATATCTCCTCCTGCCCTCACCTCATGAACCTTTGAAATCTAATGTTGAATTCACGACAGTTACTCACTTGAGGCCAAAATGTGCATATAATGCCAACCAGGGAGTAAAGAAAAGCTGTAGAGAGAGGAGGAAAACCACAACACAGAGGTACAGTAAAAGAGAAGTCAAGAATTAATGTACAGTTTTAAGATTAATTTAACACCTTAAATGTAACTTAATCTAGTTATTCCATCTGCTGTAAGGGCCCCTGATTGTTTTTATTTGACTTGTTTTCTTCATTGCTAATATAGAAGACAAGTTACCTCTATGCATTCAGTATTTTCTAGTTACCTTAGATAAATATAAAGAATCATGCTGGGTTAAACCACAGTTTATATGTTTACTACAAAATAACTAAGTTGAGTAAAAGTAGCCATGCATATTAAGTTGTATTTTCTAATTGTGTGTGTGAAAATGATCATGTGATGATCAGAGTATTTTAATGTGTAAATATCAGCAGACATGTAGGTATTAGTTCAGAGCTCTTAGTTAATCTCAATAATCCCGTCACTCTTTTTGAATGACTCCTGTCCCACTGGCTCCAAGTGTAGATTAGGTTTTTTTATGGCCTTATTCTGTGCAGTTTGTTTTGTTTTGTAATCTGTGATTTAAAAGAGGACTTCACTTGTTATTAGAAAGTAGTTGTAGTTTATTTAGCAATAGAACTTTACATTTGGTTCTCAAACATCTTTTGTTCTTTGGTAAGGGCATTTACACTTTAGGTGTACTCAACAAGTACATTGTTGCATAAAGATTTTATATCTTTACCTGGGTATAGTTAATTTAGTCTGTAGAAAAGTCTCTGATTACTCATGTTTATGAAGGAAACTTGTTCTGTGTGTTTCTCAGCCTGTTTTGTTACTACATGAGGTGTTCTATGCTGCAGAGGGTATTTTGTTTTACAAATATCATATGATGCAGTCAGGGCTACAGTAACCACTGGCGCTCAGTGTGTAAATAGAAAACAAAATAAGGGTAATACAAGTTTCAGTTATGATTTCAGATAAAGTCTATGCTACCTTTTAGTGTTCTACCTTCATAATATAAAGATTTAATGTTTTATTAATTCTTAGAATTTAGTAAAATGCTTTTCAAATAGCTGGAAAATGCATAATTTTGAAGAGATTTTGAAAAAAAATTCTTGTCAAAAGATTTTTTTTGTTTGTTTTGCTTTAATCCATAGAAATTTCAGTTGAATGATGCTGTCAGTGTGTCCTTTTTTGTTTGTCTGGCTCTGCAGTCTTGTGTTTCCTGTACTTAAACAACGTAGTTAATGTGTGCGTGACCAACCCATTCTCTCTCAAACTTAAGGAAAATTTGACCTTTGACCCAAAATGGCCGACTTTCTGTTGGTTTTAGGGCATACTTCCAAGAGACTTTTTTTCTTGATTTGGGGAGATCTACCTTTACCCCAAATTTCAGCTCTCTAGGACTTACCAGTTCCTCTATCTCACGTTAGGTGGTGCTGTCGAGTCATTTGGCCACGCCCATTAAAAATTCCAATAAAATCATTGCCTGGTGTGTCAAAAACTGACACGACGGGTGTACCTGACACGTCAAAATAAGACGCAGAGGGAACCTTGGAAAAGCGTCAATATGTGACGAGTCGGGAGTGAGACTGTGTTAACGTAACAGCACATGAATCATGGTGCAATCTTCTTGCGGGTCAATTGGTGAATTGCATAATTACATATCCATGGATTATGGATATGAATGTAGGTTCATTTAATCCACTTTCTTTCATTGATTCTGACCCAAAAGCTTTTATGCTGTTCAGTTTCTTGTTGAACTTACATTGTATTAAAATTGTTTATTAGTAACATATTCAGCGGTAGCAGTAGGTAAATGCTGTCGCACTTGGTCCTTAAATTTGAGGAAATTAGTTCTGGAAAGTCCTTGAAAATCCCTTGAATTTGATGTTAACCAAGGTGTGTGAATCCTGTCATTCAGGTAGGGGTTGTTCCAGATATTAATGTTATCTATACCAACAGAGTCTTCAGCTACAAAACAGAAGTCCAGTTGCCTTTTTTCCCCCTTTTTTATTTATTTTTATTTTTTGCAATGTCCTCAGTGTTTCCCAAAGTTGGGGTCGGGACCCAAAGTGGGGTCCCGAAACTTCAAGGTGGGGTCCTTAAAAGATTTTCTGAATTAATGACATTTTTGCCTTAGTTGTTACAAAGGAGTGAGGTTAGTATATTTAAAATGGATAAATGTAGTATAAAAAATTGTTACTATGCCCATGTTTTGTTGACCTGATACAAATGTTTATCATCCAAAAACAGTTGGGGGCACAGGTCTCTGCTACTGTTATTTTGTGGGTCAAAAGCTGAAAAGTTTGGGAACCACTGCACTTTGGTTCCCAAAGTTGGGCTTGAGACCCAATAATTGGTCATGAAGCACCTTGGATAATCTCCAGAAATCAATTTAAAGGGTAATAAAATAATTGCTGATGTGATATTTTCCCTATAATTATTACAAAAACACAAAATAAGTACACCAACAACGTTTGTGTTGAATGGTATCGATACCAGCATCATGGGATGGAACATAATTTTGTTTCAACTTTCAGTACATTGCTCCAGTTTCAGATGTCGATTAATGTACCTGAGTACATAAGAAGCAGCAAGATCAAATGTAAATTGATACACACATACTTCAGCATGCTGAGTGTGACGCTACATCCTCTGCGCATACGGGTCACTTCAGGGCCATGGACTGTTCACACTGTAGTCTGATGGAGGTTAAGGAGACTAGATTTTTTCTTTTTACTAAAGCTGAGGAAATTTCCTGGTCAGAGATTTAAAGGGGCAAAATCATGTAAAATCAACTTTTTTGAGTTTTATATCATGTTATAATGTTATACTCTCATAGAAAAACATGTCCAAAGCCTTGCTCTGACTCATTCATGCATGTTTGAGAAATCCTGCAGCGTTTTTAGGAAGCCATGCTGAGGAGCAAAACGACAGGTGGAGACCAGAAACGCCTTTTGGGACCAGAAACGCCCCTGGGACGTGTCTTTAAGCCAAACTTCCTCATGGCAGAGTGCACCCCCTCTCCCCCACCCCACACACCCCGCTCATGACTCCTGCAGGCTCTCGGCTGAAACTGAAAGTGAAACTTAAACTGTATGCTGAGCTCCTAACACTTTAAAGGGGCAATATTATGTGTTTCCCAGACATATATTTAAATACTATACCATAATAAAGTGTCTATGTCACCTTTAGTTGTTATTAAAATGCTGTTTTTATG